CTCACAATTTGTTCCTGACTTGCACTGCTTACCTAGAGCAGCATTTTTCAAGGGAGGGAATGGTTCCTCACACTTGAAAAATTTAAGGTAAGATTGGTCCTTAGATCATGCAACTGCAACCAATTAAAACAAATTCAAACAAGTATTATCTTCCTTCATAATGACCTAAATCCCATATAAAAACATGAAATCATGTATTTGATTAAGATGCAATTTAGAACAGCCAAACCCAAACACTTCTCCCTCCTCCCAAATAACACCCCAAGCAAATGCTAAGGGGGAAGGAGCTGAATGCTTTGTGCAACTTAAACCACAGGAATTCCTATCACTTAAGTGATAAATTATTGTAACTGTGACACTTTATTTTAACATACAGCATAACTAAAAAAGGTATCGTGAACGGGAGAAATTTAAAAATTCATCAGTGTTCATCTCTCTCAAAGCAGCAGCTATAGGAACTATTATGTACCACTGGGTTTTCCATAAATAACTTACAATCGGCCAAACTTATGACGGCCAAAACTAACTCATCATTCATTAAAGCTCAACCAGTGGAGAACCCCCAACTAATAATAACAATAAAAACAACAGTAACAATAACAACGTTGTCTTGTTTGGATTACTTACTGCAGAAAATGAATGAACACCACATTAACAGAAGTACTTAAGTACTCCTAAACAGCCTTGTTTAGGTTAGCGACCGGCTCTCCTCCCCAGCAGATTCCTCTGAGCGAGGAAATATGGAAAGAATAAGGCTTTTCTTAACCAAATCCCCACTTTCCCAAGTCTTACAGTTATTCCTTGTGGTACAACCTCCAGACATTGAAGTCGGTACGCGCATGCCCTTCTTTTTCCTCCCCCAACACCACCCCAGGAAGAGATCCAGAGATAATTTATCTCCCAAACTAGAACATCTGTCCCATCCCTCTTCGTGCAAGGCAGCAGCTTCTACTAGTAGAAGTGCTGAATTCTTTTAACCGCCCCGACGCTTTATTTTGTGCTTCCCTACGGGAGACCTCCGCCACCAGCAGCCTTCTGGAAACCCCCGTTCCCGTTAACGGCGGCTCCCGCAGACACCCAAACACCGGGGCTGTCCCTCTTGTAGCCCAACAATAGCCCGGCAGTGTCGGGATCTTCCTCCTCCTCCTCCTCCTCCTCGGTGAGACTAGGCGCTGCTCCCGGGCACGGCCGGGCCGGGCCCGCCCTAGGCCGCCATGCAGGGCCCACCACGGAGGCCCCGACCCGCACCCCGACAAACCACGCGGAACTCTCGCTCTGGCCGGCACCTCACCCCTTCCCTCTTCCCCCCTCCCCGCAGTTGTCTCCGGCCGAGAGAAGCCGCCCATGTGGCTACGACAAACCCCTGGCCCCGCGCAGTGTGCGAGAGCAGCGAAGGAGGGAGGAGATAGGCGGCCCCGCTGCACTCACGCTCTCGTGGTCCCACCGCACGTTGCTGCGCTTTTCATCCGGGGCCAGGTTCCTGTCCCGGCCCATGAGCTCATCGAGGAGCTGGGCGGCCGATATCATCGTGAGCTGCGGGCCGGATCCCCCTCGCCAGACACCACCTCGGCCGCCTCGCCCCGACCGCCTGCGCCGCTCCTGACAGAGACAAAATGGCGGCGGTGGCTGGCCCTACCCACAATGCACCGCGCGGGCCGGGCTGGCCGTGCTCCGCTCCCTCACGGCGCCTCCGTGCCGCCCAGCCCGGGCAGCGGCGGGGAGTCCCGGCAAACACCGGAACGGGGAACCGCCACAACCGTGCCTGGCTCCGCCTGAGGGACAGCGGGTGCCACACAGACGGTGTCCTGCCCAGTGAGGTGTCACGGCAAACCAGGTCTAGCCCAGAGAGGTATGATGAGAGATAATGTGCTCCCTGTGGTGTCACTGTGGATGGAAAGCTGTCGCGACAGACAGTGTCCGGCCCAGTGCGGTGTCAGAGCACCGGGACACAGCCCAGACACACAACGCTAGTGGTTTTGCTGGTCGTGGCTGGAGGCTATGGACACGGGCCTAGGCACAGCTGAAGCAGCCTCAGGGCCCCCTCTGTGTCCTGGCAGAATAAAATCACCCAAACCGCTCCTGGAAGCTACCGAGTCCCGGTCCTGAGTGCCTCCAGCTGGGCATGATCTCTTAGAAATGCAGGGAATTGTAGGATCGTTATGATGGAAAAGGTCTCTAAGATCATCCAGCCTAACCATCACCACACTCACTAATAAACAATGTCCTCAATCGCCACATCCACACGTTTTTTGAACACTTAAGTTAAAATGTTAAGAATTACAATGTAATATTGGCTTTTGCATTTATGTATTAGCTTTTACATGTTGTTATTGATCCTAAGTATTTGGATATGGTAAAAATTGTAACTCCTTTTGGTTGCTTATTAGTGTAACGCAATCCATTAGTTTTGCACCATATAGCTTGTAGAAATAGTGGTGTGATGAATGTACTATATCATAGGTCTTAGCAATACATGAAATGTTAAAATGCTCTTAAGTAACTAAGAGAATGGTGTTACTAAGAGAAGGGAATTACGCTTGCTCCCCCCACATCTGCTGATCAACCTCTCTAAGTGATAACTGACACAAACTAGAGCACTTGAGAAGAATTATAGAAGAACTTGTTAACTACTTATCAGGGTGTGTGAAACAAAAGGATGGAAACACAAGAAGAAATAAAAATATATGGACTTAACCCACAGGATGTCATGCAGATAAGATGGTGTGTAAAATCAAACAAAAGAGTTCCTGAAACATCAAAAAGCCCACAAGAATGTCTGAATAATATATGAAACACATGAATATGCATATACCTCAGTAATGTAACAGTACATAAATAACACGGTCTTAATCTGCCGGTGTGTTCTTTGGCCAATAGCCAGAAACACCCCAGCACTGGACATTTTTATCCCCTTATTAATCCCCTTATTAATCTTTTAAAAAGTCTACAGAGTGAACTCTGTTTTTCACACTGGATGACTCCACCACTTCCCTGGAAAGCCTGTCTCCATGCTTCACAGGCTGAGGGAAAATAGAAGTCCTGCATATGTAACATAAATCTTTTTCTTTGACCTTAGAACCGGCCCATTTTGTTTTCCCTTCTACATGTGACTTTGTACTCGATATACACTGAATACAATAGCAATTGTCAACTATTTCCCAATTCCTCAACATCGTTTTGAATGTCCTAAGTACATGCAATTAATTACAATTTTAATTATATTTTTTGAAAAGCTTGAAGCCACTGTTCATGCTGATCCTGTGAAACCCACTTAGACTGACAGCAGCTTTGTTCAGCATCACTGAGGACTTCATGCAAGCACCTGAGGAGTTTCCTACTGGGAATCTCTCCCTAATGCAGCACTGTGAGGCACCACAAACTTCTTCCAAGCTTTGCAATTTTGTACTGATTTAAGAACCCAATGGAACGGTTGGAACAGTGTGATTGAAATCAATGTAACACAAGTTACGGTATGAATTTTCAGTCAATATCTTGCAGTCTGGGTTTGGGGATGGGAAGGAAGGTGGAGTGCTAGTATTGGGAACTGGAGCAGAACTCGACTGTTTCAGTTTGTTTGTAATGCTCTGATTGCATAAAGGAAGCAAACAGGAGTTACACTGGAGCCCAACTACTTCAGAATTCCTTGGTACGGTGCAGTGGCTGCACAGAGCAAGCTGGAATACAAAAGTTTGAATGGAGTTTGAAATTATTATTTTGAACTTGGTTTAGGACAAATCCACAAGGACAAAAAACAGCTTTTCAAACCAAACCATGCAAGTGGCAGGAATTACCTATAATATTTCCAATTGCTTTGCAGACAGTGATCTTTATTTTAGTTAGGTTTTTTAGGCATTAGTTGATTCTGCTGAGAACACACAAAGATGATGGAGAGTTTCCTATGCAGGATAAGAGGATGCCCCATCCTTGGAAGTGTTCAAGGCCAGGCAGGATTGGGATTGGAGCAACCTGTCTAGTGGAAGGTGTCCCTGCCCATGGCAGGGGGTTGGAACTGGATGAGTGTTATGTTCCTTCCCAACACAAATCATCATAATCTTAAAAATCTCTTTACTACCTCCTCATGCAGTCACCAGGCAAACCCATTTTTTATGAATCCCTCTATTTAGCCTCTTTAGCAGCAGGTTTTTGCATAACAGTGGTTATCATAAAGTTCTTCTTTCCTTGAGTAAAACCACTGGATAAAATTAATATTAATTAAATTACCACAGATACTCAGCTAGAAATATCGCCCACCCCTGGAAGTGTCCAGTGCCAGGCTGGATGTGGCTTCTAAATAACCCAGTCTAGTGGAAAGTGTCCCTGCCCATGACAAAGGAGTGGAACGAGATGATCTTTAAGGTCCCTTGTCGCTTTACTGGGAACAGTGAGAAGCACAACGCAGACTCTGTTGTGAGTTGATCAGGAGGGCGAGGTTTATTACCTCAGATCTTTTATAGACTGATACGTGAAAGTACAGAAAGGTAAAACTCTTATTGATTAGTGAATTAAAGCATCACCATCACTGGACAGTGGTGTACACCACCCCTCGACCTTCTTCTGCAAGAAAACAAGAAACTGACAAACAGCACCTGCAAGGCTGTCTTCTATTTCTGAGGATTGTTTTAATTCCTCCTTATGATTTCTCAGGCCACTTTCTCAGGCGAGACTGAGAGAGCTCTGCGGCCTGCTTTTCCACAGGCACTGTGCTCCCTGCTTTTGCTCATATTTGGCATCCGTAGTCCCTCCCAACATTTAACACTCAATGATTCCATAATTCACTCTATGACAAATCCAGAGCCCGCAAAAACAATCAGCAGAGGAGACAGGGCGTACGATGCTTTTCTATGTCTATTAAACAACACCTACCCGGGCCTTCCCCGTCCGGCCCGTAGCCGGGCAGCGGCCGCGCCCCGGAACCGGCTGTCGGGGCCGGGTTGTCACCGGCAATAGTGTCCGCCAGGCCGGAGCGCGGAGCTGGGAGCGGCGGCGGCGGTGCGGGAGGCGGTGCGGGAGGCGATGCGGGAGGCGGTGCGGGAGCCCGGCGGGAGCTGCGGGGAGATGGCGGAGCGGGAGCGGCAGGAGCGGCTGCGGGAGGCGGCGGCGCTCGGCGATGCGGAGGAGGTGCGGCGGCTCGTGGAGCTGGGGGTCGGCCTCAACTCCCAGAATGAAGTCAACGGATGGTAAGGGCACCCCCCCGAGCCCAGGGTCTCTCGGCGAGCTCGGCTCCGTGCGGAGGCTGCCGCCGATTCGCTCCGCACGTGAAAGGCGAGGCAGGGTGAATTGAGGAGAAGGAAAAGGTCGATTTGTCTCCGAATACTCCGTTATGGAGCTGTCCCTATTCCAGAGAGGATAACCGGGGTCACAAACACGCGTCCCCACCGCACCTCTCTCCTGTTTGCCCCTTCTCCAGGTCACTGTGGACTTACTTTGTAGTGTTTGTTTTGATTTTTCTTTTTCCGGCCTGAGACAGCGTGGCCTGTCAGAACACGAACCCCGGTTTTATGTGCTCTTGCCTAAGTAGAAATATTTATTATTAACTCAAGTTAGAAAATTACTTTCAAGCAGGGAACCTGTTCCAGTGATGTATAGGAACATTTGGGATTTGGCATCTCGTTCTGATCCACCTGAGGACACTAAAGCAAAGGTTGGTCTGTAGTAGACACTTGTACAAGTAACACTGTAAACATAAACACACACATAATTTTATTTGAAGGAGGATTTTACAGGGAATGGTCAGGCATTTTTGGAGACTGTTTTCCACAGGTTCAGTTCAGCCTGTATTTACTGTGCTGTTTTGTGCTCAAAATTATAAACTTATAAAAAAAGGGGGAACAACCTTTTTACACAGGTAGTTATAAGACAAGGGGGAAAGTTTTAAATTAAAAGAGGAGAGACTTAGGTTAGATGTAAGGAAGAAATTCTTCCTGTGAGGGTGGTGAGTCCCTGGCACAGGTTGCCCAGAGAAATTGGCTTCTTCTTCTTCCCTAGAAATGTCCGAGGCTGGGTTGGACAGGACTTGGAGCAACCTGGGATAGTGGAATGTGTCCCTGCTCCTGGTGGGGGGTGGAATGAGATGAACTTTAAGGTCCCTTACAACTCAAACAATTCTAGGATTCTATGACATTATAATTAAAAATAGGAAAAATAAAATTAGGAAAGGAGCAAGACTTCTAAAGATGAAAGTTCCATCAACAGTTTTGAGAAGTGTGGAACACTTAAAAACTTGAGCTATAAATTGTAATTAAAATTAAAGCTTGTAAAAATTTAAAGTAACTGATTCACAGGACACTGAATTATCTTAGTGAGATGAAAAGCAACCTGTCATCAGAATGAGTTTGTGTCTAAAACTGGAATTGATTAAATAAATCTTGTAATGAAATTAAATATTTTCAAAAATAATGATCTGGTAATTTTTAGCCATGGCAATAAATGGATCTTCATTATTGTTTAAGTTTGTACACTTAAAATTTTGCAGTGAGCTTTTTAGTATGTGTGATGTTTAGAGATGTCGAGTACTTATATTTTGGTACATATCAGGTCTGTGGGTAGATGGTTCCTTTCTTCACAGGCCATGTGGAATTGCCAGAATGAATCCCAAAATGAGGCTGTGCTCTTGAGCCTTACATGTCTTCTCTAAAAACTAAATTTTTTTAAACAGTAAATTTTGTGCTCAATGCAAATACCACCCTGTCTCTCTGACTTTGCAATCTCTTTCACTAAAAAAATTCCCACCAAACCAAACCAAACCACCCAAAGTGGAAAAAGCTTTTTGGAGCGGGACTTTCAACTGAAAGTTTTTTCCCTTCTAAGTTTATTTATCTCTGCTTTATTTTATATAAGTCTTAAAAAATAAATAAACAAACTTGGAGAAGGGTTGAGCATGCTCATTTTTCTTTAGAATTTCCTTCAGCTGGAGCTAGAGAATTAAAATATAAAAGCTAGAGAAAGGTCAAACACCACTGGAACCTGGGATAGGAAAGAATGGTACAACTCTATAACAAGTTACATGTGAGTCTATAAGTCCTTAATACACACACTAAGTAAGATATGAGCACTAAGAAGCTTTCAGGATGTTTCCTTAATATGTTTCTCTAGCCAGCAACTGCAAACAATAATTTGAAAATACAGAAGAGGGATTAATTGTGTGCATCACTTACAGATTGCAGAAAATTTGTTGTCTGCAGATCTAAGCTGAGTAATTACTGATGCAGCAAATGGCAACTGGGCAAAGAACTGTTCTTAGAAACTGCTTACAATATTTTAAACATAATTTACTTGCCAGAAAGTGCAAGTACTTGTGCTGGCAGCATTAATTAAAGAGTACATACAGCATCCTAGGGAGATACCGGTAACAGATCACATATACACACAAACATAAGTATTCTAAGTACAGCTGATTCTTTCAAAGATTAAAATATCATACACAAACCTTACTTTCATACTTATTTTTCCAGTAGCCTAAAAGCTGTAGCCTAAGAAATTATAAATTGAAAAGATCCTGAACTTTAAAAATGCTACTGCAGTAAAGAGCATTGGAGCAGAGAGAAAATGCCATCAGCAGGTGCCATTGCAGACTCCCAATCCAGGGTGAATTTCCAAGGAAATTTGCAAATCAAACCTACTTTACATGTGCAGAGGGTGTTCTTCTCATGGGCAGCAAGAAGGAATGGAAATTAATCTGCCATAACTCAGGATCTGACACAGTGTTCATGTTTTCCACGCACAGGACCTGTTTGCACTGGGCCTGTAAGCGGAACCACGTGGCGGTTGTGGCTTATCTGCTGCATGCTGGGGCTGACAAGGACATCCTGACGAAGAAAGGGGAGAGGCCAGCCCAGTTAACATCCAAGAGAGAGATCAGGAAGATGTTGGGAGGTAACATATAATGGCTGTGCCATATGATCATCAAAGATTAGTAAAAGGGTGTTGAAAGCATGTGTGCTCCAATCTTTGTTTTGCATGTGAAGACACTGTGTTTAGATTTTAATATTAGGACTTACTTTCTAGAGTGTTTACATGGTAAGAAAACAAAGTTTAAGTAAAGGTGATTACCAATAAATTCCATACCCACCTAGTCAAACCTTTATTCTAAACACTGGAAATTCAGAAAAACTGTATTTTTAGGAATGCAATCTGCTAAGTAAATGCAGTTTCCAGTTTTCAGAAGAACAGCAGGAGAGAAATCTCTCAAATTTGTATGAGCAACACCTAATATTCCTCATGTTGTGTGTTGGATAAATCAAAAATTAGCCCAGATAAACAGCTCATTAAAGGACATTAACAGGTAGAGCATCTCTATCGCATTTTGTAGCTGCTGGACCAGAGTAGGTTTTGCTTCTGGAGGTGATAAGTAATTTGAAATGTGGTCCATTAACAACCTCTTGTCTCTCCTTGGTACTCCTATGTCTGGTTTTGTTTTCATTGTTGTCTCTCCCAGCTGTTGAATGGGTAATGCTGCAGCTTTCCCAGCACTGCATGTTCTCTTCCCTTTATCCTCTGTCCTGATAGCAAACAACATACGACCCTTTGTTTTTTGTTGCCTGATATATTATGAAGATGACAGCATTATTCCACCAGAGATCATGTTGCTATACCATGTGCTGCTACAGATTAAAACAAGCCAAAACAGAAATACTGCAGTGTATAGAAGGAATTAGCACCCTCAGAATTATTAGAATGAGACAAAGCTTTTATGTTTGTATGGCAACACCTGAGCATCCTGTTTATTGTAGGAAAATGTCCTGATGGGACATTTGCAGTTGGGTTCTTTTTCCCCCTTGGACTGAAGATTGATGAGAGAGAGGCAGTTTTCTCTTGTTTGGACTTGGTTGTTTATTCTTCTTTTATCTACATTACATGTATACAGGGTACAAGGAGTTACCTGCACTAAGATAGAAAGGTGCAAAATGGCTAACAAAGATCTTCTTCAAGGTTTTTTATATATCTAGTTAACCAATTAACAAATGCCAAGTACATTATTTTTCTTAGTGACCCAATGACCCAACACCTGTGTGCTGCCCTGCAGCATTCTCTATCCAATCACTTACTACTACCCAAAAACCTCTAGAAAAAGAAGATGAAGAGGGAAGAAGAAGGAAAGGAGACAATGCCATAATTCCTTCATCTTGCCTCTTATTTTATAACTAGCTCAAACCTTAAACTTCAACCCTCTCACCCAGTGACTTAAGAAAACTCTCTAATTTACACACTTACATTTTCAGTTTTTCTATTTAACAGTTGTTTTCATGGTGTTATATGAAATTCAGTGGTTTCTTGGATGTCAGAGCCAGGTATCAGAGATAAGGGCACACACTCTGTGCCTCAGACTCCAACAGGAAAAAAGACACAGTGCTTCCTGATGCATCTTCTAACCCATGATGCTTTTAACACTGCATTCCCTTGTGTAAAAAACAGGGGAAAAGAAAAAAAAAAAGAAAAAAAAAAACAAACCCAAAATCAGTCTTGGAGAATGTTGTTTGGTTTGTTTTACAGTGGAAGATGAACTACCAGACTTGAAGCAAGATTCAGATCTGCCAATCGTCCCCAATTACCTGGCTAACCCACCTTTCCCATATGTTTACACCTCAAGTACCAGCGTTCCAGATCTTGCCCTGAATGGGAATCTCTCACACCTGGAAGCACAAGACACCATCTCTCCATCTGTACCTGACTCGGACACCTACAGACGAACACAAGGACCACTGCAGCCTGGGAATGCTGCTCCTGAGGTGCCTCCTAATGGGGACATCCCACCCCTGCCTCGAGGGTCTGCTGGGCCATCACACCCAAATCCTCTCCTCCAGAGAGCTCCTGTTTACCAGGGGTCGGTGTCCTGGGGGAGAAGCCCCTCTTCACCAGCAGGATCCAACCAATTCCTACCACAGCAAGGGAACAGCTCCTGCATGGGGCCTGTGCCAGCCTTTCAGCCTGTTTTCTTCACAGGAGCTTTTCCACCCAACGTGCAAGGTAACACCAAAAATCTCTTGTGGTTTGTGTGGATCTTCTGTCACCCTGGGCAATGCAGACTAATCACATGTTTCCAGAGACTTTCAGATTGCCATGCTTTGGCATTCAGGAAACATTTGAAGGGAATGAAGTAGGCAGATACCCTATTTCTGCTGGAACTGTTATTAAAATATTGATGTAAACATTTGCTGTCTCAATTGCTATAAAAGCATACAGACACCAAGGTAATCTAATTCTCTAAATAGCATAGTCCAAGCTGCAAATACAGATCATGAGCAAGCAGCCAGTGTGCTCAAGAGAAACTCACATGGCTCAGTCTGCACTGAGCTGTTCTAGGATCTGCCTGTTCTGCAGGGAAACTGTGCCTACCCAGAGAGGGAAACCTGGAATTCCAGTTACCATTCTTTCATTCTTCAAGTAAAAGGCATTGTGATACCATGGGGTAGCAATGAGAAGTAACTGAGAGCAAGAAATACCAATAAAGAAATCTTGGTTTGCTCAGGAAATTGGTAACTGGTATAAGCTGCTGGTAGATCAGCTTAAATCAATTAAAAGAGTATTCATACAGTGCTTCAGACATGCACACATATATTGCATTAGATTTGCTATGATTTTTTTCATATAGTTTGATGAAATCAATCTAATTAAAACTGTGGTCATAGAATTCCAAGTTTTGCTTTCTGAGGATTCATGTATTCTTACCAGTGACACAAATGACGTTAATAGAACATGGATATACCTGGAAGCTGTTATAAAGGCATTGTTTCCAGTTCCTTTATACCTCTGCCTATTAATGTGACTTTTATTTCTAATAGAACTGGTGCTTAAAGTGAGAATAAAAACCCCTAATCTTAGAGAAAATGACTTCATTGAAATTGAACTGGACAGACAAGAACTGACCTACAAGGAGCTGCTCCGAGTGAGTTGCCGTGAGCTGGGTGTGAACCCTGAGCACGTCCAGAAGATCAGAAAATTACCAAATACAATGTTAAGAAAGGTAAGAGCTCTACCTTTTGAAGTGCAGCAACTTATAGAAGAGATTTTTAGGTTACTGTTATAAAGGAATAATTTGTTGGTCACTTGCATAGGCCCATGTTGGAAAAAAAAAAAAACCCAAACCAAAAATGAAAAATCTCTGCTCAACTGGCAACACTCAGCACTTGTTTGGGATTTCTTAAGTAAAAAGATTCTCAAATGTCTTGATCACCTCCTTTCATAATCATTTGGTGCTGGACCCAGTTAATACCGTATCTTATGACTCTGTTGTAAAATTCATTACAGCCTAACACCACTGTGAGCTGCCAACAGCATTTACAAGGCCTGCAGAGCTCAACCAAACCCTGTGAGTTCAGCAAGGCCTGGCTGCAGTCCTTGCACAGAGATGTTTTTCAGGGTTACTCTGAATATAACTGTCCTCCCTTCAGTGACATTTACCCTGCAGCCAGCAGAGAAGTGACCTGCTGACCTGTTTTACCAACTCACCACTGACCTTTCTTTCATCCTTAAATCTTTGTAGAGCATTGTTGGCATTACTTGTGGGGCAAATCTGATTAGAAATAGATTAACAGACTTCACTCTGCTGCATCTTCGCTGACTACAGGATGTCTTACTCTGTGTTAGTCAAGAAGTGGAGAAAAAAAGAGACATGAGCAATTCTGTCACTTTCCAACTTTGGTTATTGTTGAAAGAACTTTTTATTTTCACCTCTAATCACTTCAGGCTCTCTGGTAGGACTTCAGGACCCCTACTGTTCCTGCAGTGACACAAATCTGACTGTGTACTGCTGTTGGCAGCAGAGCACTGCTGCAGGGGCTCAGAGCTGGCCTTGCTGGGTAGCTCTGAAGGAAGCCAACCACATCCAGTACCTCCTTGGGTAGGTGCAAGCATCAATTCATCAGCTTCCAAGAGTTAGCAAGGGTAGAAAAAAAGGATTTGGTTGGCATGCAGTAGATCTTGACAAGTGTAATCCCACTAATCACTTGCAGTCACTGTCAGTGTTGCATTTCCTCTAAAAATAGACTTATAAGGGCATAGCTGAATAAGACCCCAGAGTAAATACAAGGTGCAGCAGGATATCTGCTTTCCAGTTCACTGTAAAAAACTGTCATAGTTATGAATAAATACATACCTTGTGTTATTATTTTAACATACCTCTGCAAAATTAACAGACACTATCACCTAACTCCTTATTGTATTTGTTTAAAGGACAAGGATGTTGCAAGGCTACAGGATTTCCAAGAACTGGAGCTTGTTCTAACAGTAAGCGACAAAAACTTACTTTTCAGAGTCCCAACACTTTCTGAACAGAGTGGGTATAACAAGAAGGCATCAGAACTTATGTACTAATTAAGGAATAAACCAAAATATTTTTATCTTTCATTTTACAATTGGGTTTGAAAAACAGTATCTAAAAGGGCTAATGATGTGAAAAAATCTATTTTGTTAACCATGAAATAAACTGAAGTGGTTATGCACATTTACAGCTTCTAGTTAATCTATGAACAGTGAGTGTGGTATAAAAGCAGCTCAATGCACAGGAAGTACTGGTAGAACTATCTGTTAATGCAACACTTCCTTACAAAAAGGTAATGAAATACTGCAGAGTTAGCAGCTCTCAGGGAAAGGCTTACTTTAAGCTGTTCTAATAATTTGTTTGCTATAAAATAGCAGAGGTAGTCGAGCTAAAGAACCTGCCATGAAGCCCATTTAATATTTGTACTGAGTCCATTACCATCAATGTTCTCTTTTTAGATCATGCTTATTAAGTCCCATCTTACTTAGAGGGAAAAAAAAACCTGGAAGGGTTTAAATCTATAGAAGCACAAAACTATGTCAAGTTTAAATTCTATCAAGTGACTTATTACCTGTGATTTCTTAATCCCTGTTTACACTTTTCCCTGTTTCTCAGGTTGAAAATAAAAGTGACAGTAATTATTCAAATAATAAATATATACTCTCAACCAAAATCCCTTTTAGTGTTGTCTGTGAGTATATACATGAGCAATTGACATGTGCAATTTAATATATTATTTTTGTTACTGTGTTGACATTTCTTCAATGCTGCTTTAATTTCCCCTTTTAAAAGCACAAAAAGTGTAATTTTATTTTCCTTTGACCTACATAACTGAGAAAAACTGCATCTTGAACCTATAGTTACCTGTGTAAAAAGAAACTAGTGAAATACCCAGGGTTCTCTGGGCTGATAGCCAATCTTGATGTTCCTATGCAATGTATTTTCTTTTTTTCACTGTAACTTGTGTTTACCCATGTAGTTTACTGAAAAGAAAATCACAGTTACTTAAAAGTCAGAATTTGATTACTTTGCTGTGAAATTCTCAAATAAAGAAATTGAAAAGTATTTAAGAGCTGGATTTTATCTGATTTTAGTATTTAGTCACTTGAATTTGAGGAACAGTTCTATTCTGGTAGGCCACGAGAAGTGCAGATGCTGTGGATTAGATGAATAAACTAAAGTATGAGATGTAACAGGCAAACAGAATGTACCAAACTGGTCTGAATTTTCCTGTTTCTTTGCCTTCCACCCTCCTTCCCCCCAGTTTCTTTGGAAACTGCAGCTGCCAAAGGAATTTATCTTTTGTCTTGTCTCAGAGTTCAGAGCCTGAGCAGGCTGCGCAGTGTCCGTGTGGCTGCTGGGGCAGGCCTGGGCTGAGTCCCTGTGCCTGGAGCTGGGGACCAAGCACAGTCTCCACCTGTCCTGGGGCTGCAGCAAGGGACATCAGCTGCCTGTGTCACTGTCAACCCAGTGGGAACTGTCCCCAAAGCGCCCTGGGCTTGCTGCTCTCAGCTCCTGGAAGTGCTTGGAGCATAGGGACTGAGCACACCAGAGGGAGCTCCCGACCTGTCGTCAGGCACCAGGCTGGGGCTCAGCTGCCAGCACAGATCCCTGCTAACACCTGAATTCTCCTTGTGCCCAGCCACCACACTGAAGCTCAGTCTCCCCAGGTGAAGGTTTTGTCACACTGAAAAAGCCTCTTCTGCAAAGTGCCAGAGGTCAAACATAGTCCCAGTCATTGGCAATATCTGTTTTTATACCAGATTGCTGGTGGAATATTAAGTTCTCTGTAATGGAGTAATAAAATTGTCATTCCTCACGTCACCCTGGCTGCTGCCTTCTCCACAGCACAGGATAGTTCAGGCATTGGCTGAATCCAGGAGTATTCTGGGTTAACCTGTAAGACCTCCTAGAGAAAAGCTCAGCTGTTGGGGCAGCAGCCTTGCACAGATGCTGATCCCTATTTATGCATTCCCAGGAATATTTTTATACCTTGTACAGTTTATTCCAGGAAGATACTATTAACACTCCCTAATCCCATCAGTGTATATCCACTACATTCTGTGTGTGATAAATAATTCATTACTTTGTGCTCTGCTACATGAAATGTTAATGTCTAATAAATGCTTGGCTGCAGATTTGGGTGTCTATTTAAGAAGTATAATTTGTAAGAATTAATAAATTATTATTTTTGTCTTCTCAAAGTTTTTCTGCATTTTCCTTCTGGTAAAACATAGGAACTTTTTCTTGCTGGGTGGTTTTCTGGAGTGCTTAATGTAAAACACAAACAACTAAAGCAAAAGAGGTTGTAGCAGATTCTAGCAGCAAATGCTGTTTGAACACAGGCCTCCTTTTATCTGAGGAGGCCTGGTTATCAATAATAAAATAGATAATTATTTCTGCAAGACAAATCACCCATTATTTCAGATGATGAAGCGTTGAACAAGATAAACTAAATGCACACCAGTCTCAGCATGCACATTCAGCTTAAGTGGAGACCAAATCTTAGTGATCTCCTACCCAAAGACATACAGCAAAATTCTAATACTTCTAGTCCAGTCGTGGCCCTGTGGGTTTGTGTGGGGTCTACTGAGTTGGAAAAAACCTGTAGTTTATGTTTTATATGAAGCCATTTGTAGGTGTAGATTTAAACACATGTTGCTTCTTAGGCTGAAGAGGAATTATATATTGTCAGAGTTGCCCTGAACAGGGATCCTAAAGGTCCCAGGACTCCCTTGTCCTTGGGGAAATATTGAAAGAAACAGGTTGGAACCACTCAGAGGTTACACAGCATTTCACTGTTACTCAGCTGAGTCACAGCTTAACTGGGCCTGTCACTTCACTTCAAATCCTATGAATCCTTATGCAGAAAACACACAAATCAGGTGTATTTTGTACCATTAATATAATTTACTAATTATAAACCTGAATGCAGTACATAATTGCACTGTGGTACATACGTTTTCTTGGCAGAATATTTGTCATTCTTTGGGAAAAAAAAGCATATAATAAAATACTTTATGTATACAGAAAATATTTAAAAGTATAAAATTCACTTCCTGGTCCTTATAATTGTGAAATACTTTGTTCACATATCACAAGTTTAGTTTACTACAAAAACTGTTTTGTAAATTACAGTACATTCATAAGTCACTTTTGTGGCAAGTCAGTAATATTAAAAAAACACCAAACCAAAACCCAAGGGGTCTTCTCTTCATGCCAGTCCTGCATCTTTGGCCATACTGTAGAAAATGCCCTTTGCTGCTATAAGGTTTGCAGGTGTGTCAAATTCAGCTATGGTCCCGTTGTCTAGAACAAGAACCCTGTACAAAACAAAAGATGGTGTGGGGGAATAGATGTGTCAGAAAATTCCTCACAAGGAATGTGGTACCTGTTTGTGTCACAAAGCAAACTACTCTAATCTTTGCCTTGCTTTTGTTTTCCTCGATTATTTTCACATTAAAACACAACAGATGATAAACATTCTCCCTGAGCTAGTGCTGTAAAAAGTTATAGGGCAATCACTGTCTCCCAGGGGCAAGAAGAGGGAAAAAAAACATCTGGAATTGAAACTGTAGTTCCAGAAAGCCAAGGAGATACAAGCTCATGAAGAATCCTAATATATTTTCAAGTAATTAAAATGACATGCTGTTAGTGAAGAAGTTACAGCAGCTGCTGGTTTAACGAGGCTCCATAAGCTTCCAGACAGTGCCAGGAGAGCCCCTGGGCAGTGTCCCCTACAAAGGTCTGGTTTCTGAATATAGAACCTGTTCCCTGTGCCAACAGAGGCAAAGTCAGGGCTGGAAATTCTGGGATTACATGGCACACCATTGCTTACATACTGCCTGACAAGAGAACAAGTGTTCATGTCCAGACCGCTCCAAGTGCTGCTTCATATCCCCAGCAAACCCATGAGCCCACCGTGCACTACTCAGAGCTTTTACCTGGTGTAATCCATGATTGTGTTCAGCCTGTGTGCAATGGTCAGCACAGTGCAGTCCACAAACTGTGTCCGAATGGTCATCTGGATGAGGTCATCTGTCTCCAGGTCGATGGCAGCCGTGGCTTCATCCAGGATCAGGATCCTGGTTTTGCGCAGGAGAGCTCTGGCCAGGCACACGAGCTGCCTCTGGCCAACGCTGCAAACACAGAGAGCCTTTCACTGTCCCCAGCTCCCCAGTGCTCACAGCCACTTGTGCTCAGCAGGTCACCCATCGGGTTACACATAAAACCATGAAATACTGCCTGTTCTGTCAGCCCCATAGCTCACACACACACTGCAGCGTGCCAGCACTAACAGTGACAGGATCACTTACTGCCTGACCCTGTGCTGGCAGGGGCACCAAACGTGCCTTTCATCATTGTGACAAAAGCCAGGGCAGCTAATGACACCATTTCTGCCCAAGCATTCAGAAATACTCACAGTTCTGATAACACTGACCATATGCAAACTTAGGTAAAAAAAAATAAAAAGGAAAGGAAAATGTTATGAGGCTGCAAGTCCTTTCTATCATAAAAAATAAAATATATACATCTATCTGAGCAACCCAAACTTCCTCCTCTGCCACAAACATTGCCCAGACTCAGTCTCTGAGTGTCTGCAGGATGAGGAAGGAGCCACACGTCCATCACAGATAATCTGGTGACACCACAGCCTCAGAAGCCAATGAAGCATATCAAAACATGGCATTTATCATCCCCAGTCAAGTCTTCATGGACCATCCAAATAGTAATGGAAGATAAACATTGCTAAAGTGTCAGGCAGAGAACTCTTACTCAGCACAGCAGTGATGCTATCATGGCATTTCCCTCCCTACCAAAATGTATTTGAAGGACTTCCTGTCTCTAATACCCTGTCATCCTGAAACTTCTTTCTGACAAGATGGGATTTGGGTCTGGGAGAAGAATCAGATCATTTGTGGCAGAGGCAGAAGAGAAGGCAAATGTTTGACTAGTGGTCACTTTCTTGGAACAGAAATATTCTGTTGGCTGAATCATTTCAGATATGACAGACCAGTGCCAGTGCTCACTGTCACAGCTGAAGGGCAGCTCAGTGGATGCTCCAGTCCAAGCATTCCTTACCTAAGATTCTCTCCACCCTCTGAGCACTCATAGTCCAGCATGGATGGCTGGCTGCTGACAAACCTCTTCAAATGAGACAGTTCAAGTGCTTTCCATATT